ATTTTTGTTCTTAAGGATTAGCAATGTCTACTTATCGGATAACCTTAAGAATTTTTTGAAAATTACAAAAAGTTAACTTCTGCAATTATATTTGAAAGTATTGTGAATCCATATTTTGAAACTTGCCTTATCTCTACACTATATCCTTTTTCAGAGACAATGTAATGCAGAATCAAGCAGACGTATTAAAAGTAGTTTTAGTTTTTTTGCTTACAAATTAAGTAAATACTGATACTAGTGATAAGATAGCTTTCATGAGCAGTGCAGTACATCTTTACATACTGAAAATATATTTAATCATCATTTTTGAATTGACTTCAGAAGTTTAATCTAATGATAATTAATGAGAATAAATACTAGAAACTCAATTAATTGCAATTTTCATCAAATCTTTCGCATGATTGAATGTACTTACTAAACTTCCACACCAGTGATCTTGCTTAAAATCGTCTTCTTCAATTCTTCTTTAGCAACTAATTAACTAACATATTTGTTGTCTTCCCATATAATTGTGTGATTGTAACTGAATAACTATACTTACAAAGAATTACTGCTCGAGATTGCTAGAAGTATAAAAAGTAGTTTAGTTTTTTTTTTGTACTTACAAGCTTAATAAATAATAATATCACGGATAAAATGAATTTGAGCTCGTTGGTATTATTAAAACGAATATTATACTTGTTAATGTTCTATTCAATAACACGGAATTTTTAGAAAATCACTTTTCGAATTGTAAGTATACTTCAACAGTATGATTTTTTGAAATTTCATTGTTTAGCACAAAATGCTCTTGTTATTTAATTTACAATTATTTTTCAACCTATTTAAGGTCACTATGAAAAGATAAGATATATGTAAATTCTCATAGCACGTACAAGTAATTATCATATAAATAATCACGTGAAATTATTTGAAAGTATTTAATTAGCGTCGAAATTAATAAAATAAAATAATAGCAATGATTGCTAATGCATTAGTTTTTACTTGATATCGATATTCTTCACCAAATTACAATACTTTATCATAAAAAAGATCAAACTTGTTTTTATCCAGAAATACATCCAAAGCTGAATTTGTAAATAACTGTTCAAGCCTGAACCAAGTTACAAAAAAGCCAAAGCTAATAATAAATTCGCTCATTTTTTTTACTACCGATTTTTTAGTACATTTGAGTACCATTAAATTACATGAGTATAATCAAAGAATATCGAAAAAAAAACCCCTAGTTATTCAATTTACAATATTAACACATAATTAGTAGTGATTATTTTTTGAATTTAAAAATACAAGATAATTTATTCAAGCGCTTAGAAGCATTTTAGACCAATTTTATCGTAGTATGATTAAACTAGATCTCTAATAGTATATTTTGATTAAACTAGATCTCTAATAGTATATTTCTATATTCCTAATTACTTTCTTTAGTTGAAAATTCGAAAAGAATCTCTCGACAGAATACGAAATCTTGCTCAAACTTTAACTGATCAGAAGATATAGAAAAAAAAGAACTAGCTTGTTTACGAATTTAAGCTAACTTTATTTTGCAATTTTACTCAATATGAGGACTATTATGACTGCTAACAAATGAGAGTAAAATTGAATGAAAAAAGAGGGAAATCGAAGCAATAATGATAGATTGCTAAATGCAATAAAAGAAGTAAAATAAAAAATAAATAAATAAATAAAATTTTAAATTCGTTCTAAATTTTCTAAACGCATATAAAAAGCAAAAATGCATAAAAGTATACAAATAAGTAATAAATAATAATTCGTTACTTTAATAAACAATAATTACTAATTGGATTACTTTATATGAAATGAATAAAGTAGTCGTTAAGTAGTCTATGCAATTGATTAAACTCTCAAACAACTACTAAATTGTCTAAACAATTTTAAAAAAAATTCTCAAATGAAAAAAAGTTGTCAAGTGAAAAACTTTTACAGATGTTTTTATACTTTTATGTCACTAATAGAAATAAATGAATAGAAATTTGCATAAATGATAAGCTGACATTACTCATTGCATCTTTTCAAACAAAATGACAGTAATATATATTGAAGTTTTTTATACTTCTTTCACAATTATTTCTTAGAACAAAATAAACTTAGCAAATACAAAAAATAAACAAGCAGTAATTTATGCATACATTTTATTAAGTATACGTTTAAAATTATTAATATCAAATTTTGAAAATAAAATTCATCATTTATAATAATTAGTGAGTTTTTGTGAGCTTTAAAATTTTGTTATTCAAGAAATTAAATTATCAATATCTAATTTCCAGTAAATTTATAATATAACCACATGTATATACAAGTCTAGCCTTCCCTAATCCTTTCTAATGAAAGATTTATGACTGACTATGAGACAAATATTATAACTGAGATCATTCTTCACAATATTACTAATCTCTTCATTCACTATACACTACTTAAAAAAAAAGAAATCATAAGGCAAGAAATTGTCCATGTGGGATGAAAATTTGCATAAATAGTTTACTGCTTATCAAGCATTAAACTTTTAAACTTGAAACGAAATATGCATAGATGCTTCACTATCATCGTTTTCCTTGGTAGAATTTCAGCTTTAAGTTTGGTATGCAAATTTCAAATGCCAAGAAAGGTCAAATGTTCTCTTTGTAGAGGAAAATCTTTTTTGTGGAGGACATGACCTTCCTTGGCATTTGACATTTGCACACAAAATATCAATATTTGTTTCAATAACGAGTAATGGTGAAGTCTACCATCACATTCAAACAACTCACATAATCACTTATAAGCAGAACAGATTTTAGAGATAAACCTACTGAGGAACTCGGTGGCATAGAATTATTAACTTCTTCACAAATAATAGCAATCATTTTTCTTATCGTTGCAGCTGATCATTTAATAATATAACCGTAGACTGGCAGAATGTTATCTCCACTTCAGTCTTACCTTCTCATCTATAATGCTTTTCAAACTTTTGGGTAAGTTTATCTGAACTACAGAATGTTCAAATTTTGTAAAAATACATAATAGTAATTGATTATGACATTATTGTATTTACGTCATAACATAGTGATATTGATGTAATGATTAATTAATATTCTGGTCCAAATGATAGTAAAGCTTTTGTTCAGCTGACTAAGAAATTCCATTTATCGTATGTAAAATGATCATAAAATACTCCCAAGTATTTTCTAAAGTAGCAGATAATTTTAGGCTAAAAAAGAAGAGTTTTTAGTTCAGTCATTAGTATACTTCATTCACAATTTTCTGAGCAGTTATAAATTATTACATATTTTTAGATGGAGTATTATTTTATGCAAAGTTATTGCTCGTTTGGTATTTACTACATACTACGGTAATTTGTATCAGTATTGCGAGCTGGAATTGAAAATTTTCCAAACAGCTGCTATATTAGAGGTTAAATTTTAATTGTTGACTTTTTGTCCTTTTGTGGGCATATGTAGCTTGCGGGAAAAGCTTTTGCAAATTCATTCTAAAGTTTTCTGTCTAACAGTTTTGAAGGGTTTAATCTTACACACATCATGTAAGTTACGAATTTTGGTATTCAGTTTTTTCATGTTAAACATTCAAATCTATTTTTTTGTTCATTGAATTAAAAAAATAACTTAATGAATCGCAGCTCACTTTAAGTTCTCTTTTATTCTCATTTGTTAGTTACAAAGTATATGCAGTAAATCATTGTGAGAAAAAATTTGCAGGATTAATAATCTTCAGAGAGTAACATGATTTCTTAACAATCAAAAAAACAAAATTATGCCTGTTCACAGATCTTCAAGCAACTAAGCTTTAAATCAGTTTAATTATTAAACTAAATTATTGAGCATCAAATAATTTAGGAAAAGTGATTTTAGATTCTTCATGCTGCACTAGGTTTCGTTCGATCACCTGTTGTTACGACTGCAATCCAAGTATACTCGCGCGTTTCCCTTGTATGGCTTATATTGAATAAAGCCATATCGGTTAATTTTTATAATTTCGCTTTAAACTTATTCATGCACCATTATATTGATCATTAATCTGTTAAAAAAATCCAATTAATCAGTTTTTCGAATTAATTTTAAATTATTTTAATGTTGCCGTAATATGCATGACAGGAAAAATCATGATTTTCATGTCAAGGAGACTATTTTTCAAATAGTTTCAAGTTTCAGTTTCACGTTCGTAGCTCCGATTTTTTTTTTTTTTTGATTTTTCGCTCACTTTCAGACTCAGTTATGTTTGGGTGTGTTGTTTATATTGATAGCTTGGTCAGTAACAGAAGTTGTGCGATATAGTTACTATGGCTTGAGTTTGATTAACGCTGTATCAAAAGTGCACACATGGCTAAGGTTTCTTTACTTGTTTGTGTTATGATTTGTTTAAATAATTGGATTTATCCCTTAAAAATAACGTGTTCAGGTTTTTCCTGTAATTTGTAAGAAGTAATACTAGTGAACTTTTATGATTACAGTAAACTTTTAGCAATATTGACTACAATTTTTGAGCTTTGCATTTGACTTAGTTCTCGTATCCATATTGTATTTCAAAGTATATGAAATACTTCGAATAAAAATCTGCTTCAATCGTTACAGATATTCTCTTTTCATCGTATTATATCCACTTGGTGTGGTTGGTGAACTTCTGATAATATTGGGTGCACTTCCTGAGGTTAGAATTTTTTTTCATTATTTAAAGCTACTCTGAGGTTTCTACGAGATTTAAAAAAAATTCCCATCTTTGCCTTTTTTGAATGTTTCAGTTTTTTCACAGGTAAATGTTTAATTAGTTTTACCAGAACATGTTTACAGGTCGCTGTAAGAAAGCACTTTACTTTGGAGTTACCAAACATGGCTAATTTCGGCTTTTCATTCTGGTGGTATCTTATCATCTACATGGTCTTATATTTGCCAGGTTCCTTTCTAAATTAACTCTGTTTCTATGCATGTAGTTCGTGTACTATATAGGTTTACTTAGTTTTATCAAAATTATACTTGCTACTGCTTTTAATATTACTCGTCTATAAGAATCTAATAAAATTAAAAATTTCTGAACTAACATAACCATTTATGTCAAGTGCCGTATTTCTTTGGTTGTTATCATAATTTCCGGAAAAAATTACTTCATTATTTTTATTAGGACTTTAATAAATTCCAGTCCTCGTCTAAAAGTATTCTCATATTTGTGACTCATGTTACAATATTTTATCTTGTTTTTATATCAGATCTCGTCAATGATTTTTTTATAACATCATTATTTTTCAGGATTCCCTCAGATGTACAGCTATATGCTGAAACAGCGTAAAAAGATTCTTGTGACGGAAGTTAGCAAAAAAGTTGAATAACTTCTAATATTTGTAATTCATATTACGATATTTTATTTTGTTTTCATTTCAAATCTTGTCAGTGATTTTTTTATAACATCATTATTTTTCAGGATTTCAACTTTTTTATATTACAAGCTTTAGAAGTATTCCCATGTTTATAATTCATATTACAATATTTTATTTTGTTTTCATTTCAAAAAATCTGAGGCAGCGTGAAAAGATCCTTGTAACGGATGTTAGTAAAAAAGTTAAATAACTTATTTTGCATTTTAAAAACGTTGGTTTTCAAAGTTGAATAAACGATTACATTTAAATTGTGATATTTCGTTCCATACTTTTGATGATGCTTTTTGCTGTGAAGTAAGCGTTTATTGTGTTGCTACTCTCATGTGATTAGAAAAAAGTCTATCTAACTTCGCGATTTGCAGTTAAGGTATTCAAAATCGGAAATTTATTCTATTTACAAGTTTTTAAATGAGATTTGTTTAATATTTACAGACATAGGTGGATTCAAATGGCTAAGCATAGGTAGCAGATTGTTATAAATTGGAATTTGAGGAAAGCATTAAACCAGCAAGGAGAGGAGTCCAATGTTTCTTGCACTTTCATATTGCTTAATTTATGATTGTCGTATTACTATAGTGACGTAACAAACAATTTTTTTACAAAGTTGTAGTCGAAACACTGAAACAAAAAGATATATTTAGAGAATTCCTAGACTTTTCTGTCAGGGACATTCGTCCAATAAATTGTTCAGTCCTTTATGTTTTGCTCAGTAAGACATAGTTGCAAAAGGAATATTTTCACTATGAAAGCGTTATTTTTTACAATTTGTAATCACTCCCAATCCCCAAATAATCTCAGAGTTAGTAAAAAAATCTTGGACAATAATTAGACTAATTTATTCCAGATGATTGTTATAATACTTCTTGGTTGCATTTGAATATACAAGGCCTTATTTCCATCTTCCACAGTAAATTTCATCAGCTTTTTACTACGATTTAACAGCACCACAACTCGTTGTTCTGATGGGGTGATGAAGGCAACTCCTTCATATAACACTGGTTTCTCGAAATAATATAGTTCAATGCGAACCGAACCAGGTCGAACGAATTTACTGCAAAATAAAGAAGTTAAAAATATCATGAGAGTAAATTTATTCGTTTTACGTATGATTTGTACAGATGTCCAAACAATAGATCTTTTGCTTTTTAGTGGATATTGAGACGAGTTTTTAACTGCTAATTAATGAATTTCTAACTGTCAAACTGTAAAACTTTAAAGTTTTTTTCGGAAATAAATGCTACATTTATTTATAAAAATGATATATTTTATATCAGATAACTGATTTGCTTTACATTTTATTGAATTTTATATTTGTTTTGAAGTTTAAATAATCATTTTAGGTTTGTTTCGGTATTCAATTTTCGTGCAACCATGTGGTGAAATAAAAATCCTTTCAAAATCGAATAAAATAGAAAATTCAAAAATTTTCAATATAACTATTTGATTTAGTGCTGTTGACTATAACAATGAGTTATATACAATAGAGAAATCTGACTATTAACAAAAAAGTAAGATATGATTACCTAAAATGCCCCATCACGTAAAACATAGGTTGCTTGTAAAATTCATCAGCTGTAGCATTTACTATTATAGGTGCATCGACATAATTCTTCGCGAAATTGGGCCCACCTTCTACATCCAAACAAAGATTCCAATCTGTCCAGCCAACAACCCAATTCAAGAGATCCTAAAAGAACTAGAATATTATAGATTACATAGATTTTTCACTATGACAATTTAATTCTGTTAGTTTTCAAAATTTTTCTTTATAACTTTCGTACATTTTTGTAAGGAATATTTCGTCTTTCGCCATATTTCAAATCAAGATTCTCTTTTTTTGAAATAATTTCGCAGTTTTTTAACTGAGAAAATAAAAGTGATAGTTCGTTGAATTTCTGTCTAAAATTTGAATTTATAAATCTTGTTTGAGAACCATAAGACAGAGAAAAAGTGCAAATAATAATATTAAAATTTGTTTGGATATTTTTAAAATTCAAAAAAGAAGATTTTCAATTTATCTACTATAATTTTTCTACTCCATTTATTTGAAGCAGAGTTCATGACAATTAAACTATTTCACGCATATTTATGTAAATAATAAAAGTTTTGACAGAAATACAGACCTGAATAATATCATGAGCATATTGATCACCACGTGACCAGTCTCCTAAAATAGGCGAGTGCTCAAAAGGTTTTGATCCAGTACATGCCTGAAGAAAAATTTACTCTGATTATGAGGTTGTATTCCTCATTTTGATCTTTCAACTCTTCCTTATACTTAGTAGGTATTCAAATTACACAAACTTCTGTAGCAAGGATAAACTTGTTTGGATGACGATTGTGTGTTTCAGAAAGTCGTTTTACTGATACAAAATCTGCATACCAATGTACTGCTATTCCTGACACATACTCAGCAGCTTTTGCATCTTTAAAAACCTAAAATCACTCTATCTTATTATTACTAAAATTATATTTTTTCATTAACAAGTTCTTCAATAATTCATTTTCATTATTTAATTCAGGTGTATCAATATTCAAATGTGTTCCGTTATTCTTCACCCTTAGATAATACAATTTTATATTATTTTAATTGTTATGTTACGTTCTTTTTCTTGTCTAATGCTTGATACTGCAATCATATTTATTTAACAGATGTACACGTAACTTTAAGTTTAAATAATGAGTACCACATCAGCCCAAACAGGTAGTTGTGTTCGTTGGTCATCCATAATCATCAAGGAGATGTTTCGACCAACTTCACTACTTTTCAATGCTGGCCCAAGATGATTTCTCACAAAATCTCTACAACTTGTGTATTAAATTTTAATCAAAGAATTTTAATTAACATTTAAAATTGGATGTCGAATTTTTGCCGTTTTGAGAAAAAACTTCTAAATAAGCAAACAGGCATAGTAATATTAATCTATGCTAATTTTATAAAATATTACGTTTTAATAATTTCTTTAAGCAATATAAAGAAGTAAAAAGACAAAATCAAAACAGAAAGGAAAGAGGCGCACAGTTTTACCGTTCCGTTTTTGGACTGAAATACATTGTTTGCCATTTGTAAGATAAGTCAACTCCAGTAACTGGCTCATTCTGCACAGTTAATCCCCAAAATGTTATATTATGATTTTGATACGCCTCAAGGAATCTGAAAACAAAATATAAAGAATGAGCAAAAACTTTTAAGAAAAAGCTCAAACTAACGCATACTTCACGTAATAATTAGCCCAAGTAGTATGATAAGGTCCATCTGGTGATCCTCGTAACGTTCCGCCACCAACCATTTTACCACTGGATTTCATCCATCCAGGTGCTGACCAAGGAGTAGCAAACAATTTCAAAGTACTATTTGTCAAACTTATAGCTCGTTTTATATATGGAATCTAAATTGCAAATATAGAAGAATTTTCAATACGTATGAATCACTTAAAATCCCTGATAAATAACTTTTATTCAAATTGCAAAAAGTGAAAATTAAAGAAATTCCAAAAACTCAGCTTTAAAAAAATAGTCAGCTATAGAATTACATAATTTAAATTGTAGTAAATTATTTAATTATTTGAATTAAAAAAATCACTGAACTTCAGATTCAGGCATTTCTAAAATTTACATTTTAAACCGACTGTTTTCGAGTTTTATTATATTAAATTATTAATATTGTAAATGAAGATTGAACTTACTTTAAATTTCATATCTTCCTCAGCAAGAGAGAAATTACTTAAAGTAAAATCATTTGGAATATCGTCATATGAATATACACGAGTAGAAAAATCACAGCTTGCCATCGGTACTCGACCAATTGTATACTGTATACCTTAAATAGTGAAATTTCTTTTTATTAATGGTAATTATCAAAGTACACCATAATTTATAAGAAAATCATTAAAATTCTATTAAGTCACCTTTTTCTCCAAAATATGATTGCAAGAGATTAATTTGGGTTGATTGCTTCAGCGAATTAATGTTGATACCTGCGGAATCAGTAAATGCTCCACCAAATCCAAGAATAGTCTGATACTTTATTTGATCATTAATCTTCAAGCGAATAATTTCACTTCCTTTAAATGAATTAATTAGAATTCAAACAAAATATATGTAATCATAAAAGTAAAAAGTATTTCAAAAAAACTTTCAATAATTTTTTTCTCAAAAAAATTTCATGCAACTGACCTTATCTTCAATTACTTTTTGCTCTCTAATACTTAAAATGAATTATTTTTCAAACTGCTCACAAAGTAATTCAATCGTAGCAGATGTTTTAATTTTCAGCCATTTGAATCACAAAAACGACCTTAACTTTAAAATGAATTCATTTATTTTCTGCTTTAAAATGCCAAAATTCTCAAAGGTATAGTAGCCAAGGTTAAGAAGTTGCACAACTGAAGACAAATGCCAAGAATTCTAATACTAATCATTAATAATTTATTCAATTTCATTTTGTACAATAAAAGAATTGAATTCAATAAAAAAACGACATGAGATTCTGTTGTCAGAGCAAATTTAGTTCTCAAAATTTTTTAATCTCCGATAACTTTCTCACAAACTGTAGAGATTCAGATCTCTAAGAACTGCTTAATTTCAAATTCAGTAACGTTTAAGATTCTACAAAAGCTCAATTTATCACCAAGTACCAATTTTTTAAAAGATTCACAAAGTCTGAAATTATAATAATTATAAGTAGAAAAATTACACATAATAGTGAAATATTCGGAATAAGCCACAATCTAGCTCTAATAAACAGAAACTTTGTAACTGTAATTATTTCGAATGTTTGACTTTACTTAATGGATGATAAATCTTATTCTCAAGGCTGTTTCAATGTATCAAACTAGCAAATACTTTTATTCTAGTTAAAACATTTGCCAACTTTTTGTTCTGTGACATTTTTAGAGTAATTAACTCCCATAAAATCTAGTGCTATCACTAATTTTAAATTTAATTAAAAGACAGAAGTGATAATAAAGTAATTTTTGGTATAAACTAAATGACGCTCAGTTATTTGTTAATTTATAAAGTATTTATTTAAATTTATAACAATTCAAATCGTATTTTGAGCTGCTATAAAATTAAATAGCAATTCAAAATACGATTTCGATTTGTTATAAATTTAAACAAAATATTTTATAAATTAAAAGTGCTCGAAAATTTTGTCAATTTTCTTTTATATATTAAAAATTTTAAGAATAATAAAAAATAATACCATTTTTTAGTGGTTTGAATGAGAAGAAAGTTTTTTCGAAGCGTTTTCCACTTTCGCTTGTTATATAGACAACCGCTTGCAATGGTTTTAACTTAGTTAACTGAGGTAAGTCATCACAAAATGTTGCATTGCACACGCAAACAATATTTTCTATCTTGTCGTAAGATCGACGTTGGCATTCTCGACTTTTCAAGCCTAAATTATCATAAATCATTTTTATATATTTGTTATAATTTGCATTGAAAAATATTTTTAAACAAGATACACAAAGATATTATATTATCAATTAGAATTGCATAAAATTATAATAGTAAAAATTTAACACAATTTAGATAATATTTTCAAAGTACATTGATTTTAAATTATTTTAATTTAAAAAAAAACCACCAAACTTGGTAATTAAGCAAAATTCCATTTATTTTATATTAATTAAATTTTTTGTATTTCAAATAATTATGAGAATAAAATGACAAAATTAATAATTGATAAAAAGATGAGAAATAAATTCTTGCTCTGAGCAGTATAATTCTTGAAAATTTTAAAAACATCGCACTATTAACTGCCTTTCGCGCAGTGAGAGAGTGACTGAAAAAATCTCAAAAGTATTAATTTCCTTTAATGACAATTAATTTGTCAATTTATTGTAAAAAAGTAAGTGATTTGTAATCAACTTACCGACGCATAACAAGCATTCTTTACAAAATAATAAAATAATCAAAATATAAGCAGAAGTTATTTTGCCATCTGTAATATCAAACAGATTCGTGTAATATCCTTTAGCCATCATTAACATTAATTAATTGCTTAATTTCAATCAATCGATTAATAATTGAAAAGATCCGAAGTGATAGTAGCAAACTGCGGAATTTTTTCACGTAGCAGTGATTCACCGCTGTGTAGCAAAATTTTTGAACAGTGTGCAAGCGAGTAAAATGTGTTACAGTGAAAAAGTGTAACGTCATTTCATTTTCGACGCATTTTGCCGAACGACAACTGTTGTGAATCATTTTTACATTTTCGTCCGAATAAAATCGTAGTAAGAAGACTTTACCACAAATATGAAAGTATTTATTTCTTCTTTATTTGCTGGAAAATAATTAATTAATTATCGGTGATTGTAAATGCTAAAAAATTTGTTTGATTTTACTTTTTGATTATTGTACTTAAAAATTGTTATATATCTTTTCTGTTCCATACAATTCTCATTTTCACGTACAATTCCAAAATTTCAGGAATTTAACACGTTGGATTCAATGATACATTCGACATTAGTAGTAATGTTTACGTTAGAAATGTATGTGAAAATGTATTTTTTTTCCATTAAATCTTCACAAATATTTTATTACGTACGAAATATCTTTTTTCTGATGAAACTGAATACTTCACCGTTAGTATGTGCATAATCACCTATAACCAAACAATGCGCCAATATGCAACAGGTTAAAGTTCATGATATTTATTTTTCGCAATAAATAGCAGAAATAGTAGTACTTATGAGATGAGAAGTACTCAGAGCAACTATTTTGTTCATATTTTTCACCGTTACAAATATTCTCAGATTTCAACTTAAACTTAAACCTAGTCCAGAGAAACAACTATGTGACATTATCAATAAGATTTGTAAATACAACGTAAACCCTAACGTAAACAACGTGACTCTACTTTATCTTAATTATAATCTGAATGGCAGTGTTCTTAATTCTGGTTCTTACCTGTCTTTTTACATTATTGAGACAAGACTGAAAAAAAGAGACACAAGAGACTGATAAGAAAAAAAGAGTATGAGTTAGTATAATAGAGAAATGCGAAACAGTAAAGAATAACGGCGGAGAAAAATACACTTCAGGAAAAATATTACTTGAATGAATCTTGTTGGACTGATCCACTTTAAGAGTGTAAGAAGTTTCGCATTCATCAGTAGAAGTAATTTTCTTGGGTATTAGGAAGTTGTAATATCTTGAAGGATAAAAGGGAATCCATTCAAAAGGAATCCAATCCATTAAAAGGGAATCCATCCATCCATTCAAAGTTTCAAAAAAAATTAGTAAAGTGTACTAAAGTTCCAAAAATAAAAATAGAAGCTTAAAAAAATGAAAGTAATTCAATTAAAAATTTTAGGAGGGACTTATTTAATCTTGATAACCTCTGTTTTAAATAATTGGAAACTGTTTGGAATTGTTGTACTTTGCAAATTTTGGGCGCTAAGATGGATGCAGATACAATTGAGGATAGTGCTGACTTACCGTCTTCTCACAAAACGGATTCGAATTATGTTGAAGTTTTTCGCAAAAGAATGGCATCGTTGTTAACAAAGTATCCGTCGCATGATACGACATTTACTCTGCAACGATGGCTTTTTTCTTATGATTACGATCTAGGTTGTCATTCATCATTACAATAATTTTGTAGTTTAAAATTATATTATTCGTTTTGTAGCTTCTAATGATAAGTTACTCATTATTTGTCTTCATATTATACTAGCTTCTGATTTTTTGTTAACTCTTAATACAGATAAGAAAGGCAAAGCTGTTCAGTATTTGTTATGCCGTGTGTATGATGATTCTAATATTTTTCATTTTTACTTGTTATTTATGAAACAGATGATGTACATCCCAACTTTTTTTCTTTTTTACTTGAGAGATAGGTTTAAGAAAATTTAGTTCATGCTTTAGGTATAGTTATTATTTATGAAGCTTGCAGAAGAAGCCGGGAAACAAATGACAAAAGCATTACAAAGTCTCAGTTTTCTTGGTGCGTTTAGGGATTATGATAACGCTGAATCATTAAATATGGTCTTACGTTCGTTAAATAAAGCATCTGATTACTTTCCTGGTTGGCCTTGAATGTAATTGAACTCTTTGAAAGAATGTTTTTTCAAAAATTATATCATTTTTAATAAAAGTCATTAAAGCATTCATATTAAAAAATTTTGCACTTCATCTTTACAATTTTTAAATATTATTTATTGGCATGCGAAAATTTTGCTGGTGGTGGGCAACAGTCAAAATCGGCTTATTTAGTTACCAACATCGAGGTTATCATTCGCTGATACAACATCATTTACAGGTGGCATAATGGGTCCAGATAAGCACGGAAATATTATTTTTGTGCAGCCGATGGGTCAGGCTCGACCAAGAACGGTAATGCTAGCAGGACCTGTGTCTGATCTTTATCGCTTATCAGTTATAGAAGCTGAAGCTTGCATGACTTTTTTGAGGTGTCTGGTTTATGTGTACCTATACAGACCGATAAACTAGCGAACGAAGAATGAGAAGCTGCAAAAATTTAGTGACGAAACCATTTTATTGTTAATAGTTGAACTTTTATGGTTCTAATTTCTCAATCTGCTCTATTTTCTGTTCTTGATTTGAAAAAGTGAAAATGATTGAACACTATGGTCTGTAATATTTTTAGGAAGGAAGAACTCATCAGAGGATGCAAACTTGGTATTATTTTCATTTCGGATCTTAATGGACTATCTGCTGAAACAATCTACATGCCTGCCATCAAGGCTTATATGAGGGTTTTAAATGTCTTACAGGTTTTGTTAATTAAATATTTTCGATGCTCAAGATTGTTCTCATGCGTAGTGGTTTTTCCTAAATGATTGCATATTTATTGAATTAAACCTCAGTTTCAGCAATCTGTACTTGGTGATTACTTATGATTGTCTTTTGACTGATAACTAAGACGAATATGTAATTTAATTATGCACAGTTTTATACGGTTTAGTTGGGTCTAATAATTTAGGATTTTAATTATTGTCTCAAATTTTATTTATACTGCGTGTACTGAAGCATGAGGAGTTCATTTTCTCACTCTG